GATAAAGTCAAGGACATCATGCATGAAGAAAAAAAAATGTCATTAAGAAGATAGGAAAAAAAGAAAAGACCAAAATATATGTCAGAAAAGACTCTGAAACTTCTCTTGAACACAGAGTGCCTAACATGAACAGAAGAAATGTTGAAGTAAAAATCTGAACAGAAGATTTCAAAGGTTATATGAGAAGACAAAGTATAATATGATAGTGAAATGTGCAAAGACCAAGAGTTAGAAAACAGAAAGGGAAGAACAAGCTCAGCACTTCTTAAACTGAAAGAACTGAAGAAAATTTTCAAGGCTTGTGTTACAATACTTACAGGTTCTACGGGCAAAATATTGAACAATGCAGGAAGTATAAAAAGAAGATGGAAGGAGTACACAAAGTCACTGTACCAGAAAGAATTGATCGATGTGCAATCATTTCAGGAGGTAGCATATGATCCAGAACCCATGGTACTGAAGGAAGAAGTCCAAGCTACACAGATGGCATTGGTGAAAAACAAGGCTCCAGGACCATGCACAAAAACAAATTCAAAATGGATCAAAAACCTAAATATAAAACCAAAAAGTATAAAGATCATGGAAGAAAAAATAAGGGCAACACTAGGGGCCTGTAAAAAATGGTGTGGGGTAGCATCTGACCTGCTCTAACTTCCCAAGGGGGAAGGAGAATTAAGATCAACAGCCTAGGGGTGATTCCTGTGAGGCAGAGGTCAGACATGCTTCCTCTCTCCACCATCTTTACCCACTCTGACTCCAACTGTCCCTCCCACAGCACCCTCTACTTTCTACTGAGCTCAATAATTCATTGCAATGGCAACACAGAACTCACAGACCATACTTATGATTATGGGCTTTATTAGGGAAGTAACAGGTTACAATTCAGGCTCAGGAACACTCAAGGATACAGTTATTCCATCAGAACAGCCTCTTCCCAGCCATGCTTACAAAGTCACGCCTCTCCCTGCCCCTAGGCCTCTGCCCAAAGGCACTCAGCTTTCTCACTTTCTGGGCCAGAGGCCACCAGGCCATCTCCTGCTGCCAGTCTCTGCTGCTGGTTCTCTCCTGCCACTGCTTCTCACTGTCTTCAGGATTACCTCTCGCTTTTCTCTCTTGGTTTCCTGTTTCCAGGAGTTTCTTGGTGCAGGGATCCCAGGTCCAAAAGACGCATTGGCTCTTCTTCATTGGTGATGGTGGTGTCTTCTCTTTCCCACCTCTGGGGTGGCTCATTTCAAGCCCAGCAGGATGACAAAACTGACCAATCTCTTTGATGGGCTACAATTACCCTATCACAGGATCTTGCCCAATCACTTAGGTGGGAGTTACAAGACCATGACTAGAAAGGCCACACAAAAGTGATCCATCATACTGCAGGGCCCTAATATACAGCATAAACAGGATACAAACCATAATTAACGTACATAAACACCAGAAGATAAGCCAGATAAATGGGGTATTCTAAAAATTAAACAATTATGCTCACCAAAAGACTAAAAAGAGAACCTACAGACTGGGGGAAAATTTTGGCTATAACATAGTCCACAGAGGTCTAATCTCTAAAATTTATAGGAAAATCAAACACTTCCGCAATAAAAAGACAAATAATCCAGTTAAAAAATGGGCAAAGGATATGAACAGACACTTTACTAAAGAAGACATGCAGACAGCTAACAGATATATGAGGAAATGTTCATTACCACTAGTCACTAGAGAAATGAAAATCAAAACTACCATGAGATACCATCTCACACTGACATTACTGGCACGAATCAAAAAAAATAGAAAATAACAAATGTTGGAAAGGTGGCAGGGAGATTAGAACTTTTACACATTGCTGGTGGGAATGCAAAATGGTACAACCATTTCGGAAAACGTTATGGTGTCTCCTTAAAAAGCTAGAAATAGAAATACCATACGATACAGCAATCCCACTCCTAGCAATATATCCTAGAGAAATAAGAGCTGTCACATGAACACACATATGCACACCCATGTTCATTGCAGTATTATTCACAATAGCAAAAAGATGGAAACAACCTAAATGCCCATCAACAGATTAATGGATAAACAAACTATGGTACATACATGCAGTGGAAATCTGTGCAACATTAAAGAACGATGATTAATGTGTGAAACATCTCACAACATGGATGAGTCTGGAGGGCATTATACTGAGTGAAATAAGTCAATCACAAAAGGACAAATGCCGTATGAGACCACTATTATAAAAACACATGAAAATGTTTCCACACAGAAAGAAACAATCTTTAATGGTTACAAGGGAGGGGAGAAGTAGAGAGAGAAAAACACTAACTAGATAGTAGATAAGTGGTGAAGGGTAAGACAGTGTATAATACTGGGGAAGTCAGCATAGAAGGTTCACAGACAACATCCAAAAACTCTGAGAGACTGAGCTACTGGGCTGAGGTCCAGGGAACATGGTCTTGGGGGATATTTAGCTCAACTGGCATAACATAGTGTATAAAGAAAATTTTCTACATCTAACTGTCGTGAGTAGCAACTGGGGTCTTAAAAGCCTACAAGCAGCCATCTAAGATACATTTGCTGTCACAAAACAATTTGTGTATCAACTGTTTAATGAGAAACTAATTTGTTCTGTAAACTTTTATAAACTTTCATCTAAAGTATAAAAACAAAAACAAAAAAAACCAAGGCTCCAAGTATTGATGGAATACCAATTGAGATGCTCCAAAGCTGAAAGTGCTCACTCATCTATGCTAGGAAATTTGAAAGGCAGCTACTTGGCCAACCAACTGGAAGAGATCTATATTGGTGCCCATTCTAAAGAAAGGTGATCCAATGGAATGTGGGAATTAATAGACAATATTAAAATCACATGCAAGCAAAATTTTGCTGAAGATAATTAAAAAATGGCTGCAGTTCTACATCAACAGGAAACTACCAGAAATTCAAGCTGGTTTCAGAAGAGGACAAGGAGCAAGGGATATCATTTCTGATGTCAGATGTCTTGCCTGAAAGCAGAGAATATCTGTTTTATTGACTACAAAAAGGCATTCGATTACGTGGATCATAACATATTATTCACAATAACATTGTGAATAATAAGAATCCTAACCAAAACCCACCACCATCAAGTCTATTTTGACTCATAGCCATCCTATAGAAAACAGCACAACTGCCCCATAGGGTTTCCAAGCCTGTAAATCTTTATGGAAGCAGACCGCCACATCTTTCTCCCAAATAGAAATCCCAGAACACTTAATGATGCTCATACAGAACATGCACATAGACCAAGAGGAAGTTATTCAGACGGAACAAGGGGATACTGCATGGTTTTAAATCAGGAAAAGTGTGTATCAGGGTTGTATTCTTTCAGCATACTTATTCAATCTGTATGATGAGCAAGTAATCCGAGAAGGTGGACCATATGATAAAGAATGTGGAATCAGGATTGGAGGAAGACTCATTAATATCTTGCCATATGCAGATGACACAACCTTGTTTGCTAAAAGTGAAGAGGATTTGAAGCACTTACAGAGAAAGATCAAAGATTGTAGTCTTTGGTATGCATTACACCTCATCATAAAGCAAACAAAAAATAACTGGACCAATAAGCAACATCATGGTAAACAGAGAAAGTATTGAAATTGTTAAGGATTTTATTTTACTTGGATCAACAACCAATGCCCATGGAAGCATCAGTCAAGAATTCAAACAACGTATTACATTAAACAAATCTGCTGCAATAGATCTCTTTAAAGTGTTAAAAAGCAAAGACTTCACTTTGAGGACTAAGGTGCGCCTGGTCCAAGCCATGGTATTTTCAATGGCCTATATACATGAAAATTTGGACACTGAGTAAGGAAGAATGAAGAAAAACTGACACATTTCAATTATGATGTTAGCAAAGAATATTGAATATACCATGGACTTCCAGCAGAAGGTATAAATCTGTCTTGGAAGAATTAACAGCCAGAATGTTCCTTAGAAGAGAGGATGAGAAGACTTCCTCTGGCTTACTTTGGACATGTTATCAAGAGAGACCAATCCCTGCAGAAGAACGTCATGCTTGTAATGTAGAGGTTCAGCAAAAAAGAGAAGGACCTTCAATGTCATGGATTGACAAGGGGCTACACCAATGGGCTCAAGCATAGCAATGATTCTGAGGATGGCTCAGGACTGCGCCATGTTTTGTTCTATTATACATGGGGTCATTATGAGTAGGAACTCAGTCAACAGTACCTAACAACCACAACTACCGTGTTCTTTATCCTTCTTGTCATGTGATCATTCACATCAAAACCACTATGTCTTCCTGGTAGAATTCCTGTTTCCTAAATGTCATCTCATCATAATCCTAATGTGTGTGCATTCCTTGGTAAATGGAAACATTTTACAAATAATTGCTTAGAGCCTACTAAGCAGGCCACTCAGACAAAAGTCCAAATGAAAGGACTTCTTCTTTACTGAAAGGCATATATGTGGAGGTTCAGTGATACCATCATTGATACAGTTTGCCCAATGATTCTGAATAAAAACATTAAAAATAATAATCCTTTAAAAATAGGATGTTGTGGATCCAATACAGCTGCTGACAAAGCCAGATAATCATAAACGGATTTTTTTTTTTTTTTAGATAATATTGTATTGTGTTTTGGTGAAAGTTTACATAGCAGATTAGGCTCCCATTCAACAATTTCTACACAAATTGTTCAGTGACATTGGTTACATTCTTGGAAATGTGTGAACATTCTCATTATTTTCATTCTAGATGTTCTATTTCCCATAATCTAGTTTCCCTGCCCCTTTACCTTCTCATCTTTTTTTTTTTTTTTTAAAGTAATTGTTGAGCTTTGGTTTCAGATAGAGGAGTTTTTTAAAGGACGGCAGTACTCACATGTAATATTCTTTATTTTGTGAGCCAATCTGTTATATAGTTAAAACGTGACCTTAAGGGATAGTTTTGGTTCAAGGTTTAATGTTTATCTCAAGGTAATAGTCTTAGGGAGTCATTTAGTTTGAACTGGTCCAGTATTTCCAGATTTTTTAAGAATTTCAGGCCCTGATCCACATTTTTCTCGAATTCTATCAAGATCCATCTATTGTGGCTAATATCTTGTCCCTGGATAGACGGTGTATCACATATTAAACTGATATAAACAGATTCTACACTTGATGTTAGCCATAAGGCAGAGAGGCTATCATAAATGGAGTTTTTGTCAAAATGTTCTATGAGAAATCTGTAGGACAAAATAGCCAACATATTAAACAAAAACTGGTGGAGAATTTTTCAAGACTATGGAAGACATGGACAGTTCAAGCCTCATCTGTAACCAACACAGTCCTGGAAAAACTATAAAGGATGGGTATGGTTTTGGACAACACTCAAAGGGACCCATTAAACACTGCCAAATGGATATTATTTAATGATCTCCCTCTATGATTTACAATTACTCACTAGTAACATATGTTTACTTTCTAAATGGTTAGAAGCATTTTCGCATTAAAAAGATACAGTACACACAGTGGATAAACTCTTATATTTACTTTCTCTGGTACTTTTTTTTTCCTTTGGTACAATAGGGTCACTATGAGTAAAAATCAACTTGATGGCAGTATTTTTTTTCCCCCTATCTGGTATATTTCAACTCGTCTATCCACTGATAGAGGAACATATTTGACTGGGACAGTTATTATGCAGTCTCGTCCCTTACTAAAATATTTCACTGTCCAAATCACTTCCAATTCTTGGGAAAGTTGGAAAGAGCAAATGGAATGTTACATTGGAATTTTTCTACTTTATCATACAACTTTAAGCTCTGATGACCCAAGTAATTACCATTAGCTTTCATACTCTTTACTCTTTCTTTTCAGGAAATCATACTTTGTACCCTCTGAACTGGTCCACTCAAATATAAATAAATTGAGCCACACTTGCTTCCAATCATTTACAAGCTGATTAGCTAAATATTTTAAAGGACTAGTTTATGTTAGTTCTATCATAGGCTTCCTTTCCTCCAAGCACATAATCATCCCATACATGACCTAAACCAGGTGATTTGGTATTCTGGAAGAGACATCAGAGGAAATACTGATTATGAATATCACTGGAAAAAAATACCTTATCAGATATTCTTCTTGTAAACAAGTAAATTATAAGGAATTTATTCCTAGATATATGTTTGCCAACTAAAACAACTTCAGCTATCTTTAAAAAAACTAAATATTTGTACCCATTAAAAATCTTAAACTTGAGACAAGGCCAAGATGATGGAATAGTCAGATGCTTGCCATGGTCCCTCTTACAACAAACACCCGAAAAAACAAGTGAATCGATTACATATGACAATCTAGGAGCCCTGATCATCAAAGACAAAGTGGAGGAGTTGGAATGAGAGGCAGGGAGAGGAAGAGAGAGTTCAGAATGAGCAAACAAGTGCCAGTCATCAGGTAGCCAGCACCCTATAGGCTGAGTTGGCCAGCTGACATGGGCTGAGGTGAGCAGTAGCACTTGGAATGTGTTTCACCCCTTTGGGAAAGACCGGGTGGTGGAGAGTCGGCACAAGCCAGGAGAAAGCAGTGCTGGACCTGCAAAAGTTAAGGGCAAGTGTCTAACCTACCACACAGGGTCAAAATAACCCTTCCCCCTCCGGGGCTTTTGTAGTGGAGAAGAGCCACTTTTCCCTCACCCACCCCACCCTCCCCCCCACTTTTCTCCAACACCAGTCTGGCAGTATTCAACAATTGCTATGCCCCCTAAGCCGGGAACTCAGGGCAGGTACTGCCCTTTGCTTAGGCACTGGCATAAGTAGTCCACCAACTGTGAATACCTTTCACCCTTGCCTAGACCTGTGTGGGCCCACTTAACAGCATAGGCCCTCTTTAGCATAGTACAACAAGGTATACACCTGAAGCCTATCTTCAACTGCAACAGCTAAGGGAGAGTGGCAGATTCGTGACATTTGACACCACCCTGCCCATTAAGCAGCATCCTCACCTACACTGGCTCCACGCACTCCACCTAGCCACCCATGACAGGGTTCCAAGAGTAAGTGATGCCTCCCAGTCCTTACAGCCAACAACATTAAATGCCCAAAATCTAGATGTAAAACCCACCCACCTACACGCTCTAAGGGACAGGGAAATGCCTTCCACCTAGGCACTCAGGGGCAGCCATCAGCCCCCTACCCTGCTCAGCACATAACCCCCTACTGCAGCCAGATACCTGTGCCTGCTCCAATCACCTTTATGTAGCCCTGCCCATCTAGCACTGTAGGTGAAAGCCTGCACCACACACTTGGTGACTGACAACCTGGATACCTGAGCAGAATCCACATAAGAAAAGAAAATGGCCTCCTGAGCTCAAATACCTGGTAGCAGCTCTAACCACCCAGTGACAGTATGTGTGAGCTTCAAAGATTCCAATAATCAAAGTAGCTCCCATGCCCAGCCTATCTGGGCATATTAAAACAAAACAAAACAAGAAGGTAGGACACAGTAAACAAACAGATGATAAATAAATATAACAAGCTATTGATGGCTCAGGGACAACAGTCAGTATATTTTCACATAAACAGGCAGACCATGATGGCTCCAGCAAGCAACCAAAACAAAGACTCAGGAACCCTCCTGGAGGAAGAGAAGGTCTTGGAATTACTGGAGGTAAAATTCAAAAGATTAATATACAGAGCTCTTCAAGAGATCAGGAAGGAGATGAGACAAAACTCAAACCAAGCCAAGGAACACACAGACAAAGCAATAGGGGAATTTGCGAGAGCTATACAGAGCAAAACGACAAATTTAACAGGCTGCTAGAATCCATAGAGAGACAGCAAATAGAAATCCAAAAGATTAAGAATAAAATTTCAGAACTAGACAACTCAATAGAAAGTCATGGGAACAGAATTGAGGGAATGGAAGTCAGAATTAGTGAGATGGAAGATAACGCACTTGACAGCAATTTATTTGAGGAAAAATCAGATGAAAGAATTTTAAAAAATGAAGAAAGCTTAAGAATTATGTGGGAGTCTATCAAGAGGAATAACCTACGACTGATTGGAGTACCAGAACAGAGGGGGATACCAGAAAATACAGAGAGTTTTGTTGAAGATTTACTGGCAGAAAACTTCCCTGATATGGTGAAAGACAAGAAGATACCTATCCAAGAAGCTCATCAAACCCCACACAGGGTGGAAGCCAAAGGAAAGACACTAAGACAAATTATAGTCAAACTTGCCAAAACCAAAGCTAAAGAGAGAATTTTAAGAGAAGCTAGGGATAAACAAAAAGTCACCTACAAAGGAGACTCAAGTCCCATAAAACCAAATGGGACTAATGAGGTACAGTAGTCCAGTGACAAGGGCCAGAAGACAGAAGGGGACAAGGAAGCTGGTGATAGGGAACTCAAGGTTGAGTAAGGATATTGTTGATGTGTTATGAGATTGTTAACCATTGTCACAGGACAACATGTATAGTAACTGTTAAATGAGAAACTATTTTGTTCTGTAAGCCTTCATCTTAAGTGAGAATAGCAGAACAATTGGAAGAGTGTAGTCAATGTCACTGAACTGTGCATGTAGAAATTTTTGAAATGGTGTCTCTTTGGCTATGTGTATTTTCACCAAAAAAAAAGGTTGAGAAGTTAGAGGATTGACATGTTGTAGGGTTGTTAACCAATGTCATAAAACAATGTGTGTACTACTGTTTCATGGGAAACTATTTGTTCTGTAAGCCTTCACCTGAAGTACAATTAAAAAAAAAAAAAAAAAGGAGAGTCAATAAGACTAAGCTCGGACTACTCAGCAGAAACCATGCAGGAGAGAAGGCAATGGGATGACATATATAAAGCCTTGAAGGAAAAAGATTGCCAGCAAAGAATTATATATCCAGGAAACTGTCTCTCAGATTTGAAGATGAAATTAGGGCATTTCTATCTAATCTCAAAACTACAACAAATACTAAAGGAAGAACTTCAAATAGAAAATAAGTAATATCAGTTAACAACCCAAGACTAGAACACAAGACAGAACAACCAGATATCAACCCAGATAGGGTCACAAAATAAGTCAAAGCTAAAACACTGAAAATAAGGAAACAGAGATGTCAAAATGTAGAAGATGACAATATTTAAAAAAGAAAGAAGGACTAAATAGTGTAGTCATAGAACTTTCATATGAAGAGGAAGTTAAGGCAAAATCAAGAAATAAAAGATTAGTTTAAACTTAGAAAATATAGGGGTAAATTTTAAGGTAACCACAAAGGAAACAAACAAACCTACACATTGAAATAAAAAAGAAGAAAAACAAAAATTCAGCAAATACAAAATCAACAACAATGAAAAAGATGAAAAGAAAATACGTGAACAAAAGTGACTCAGCACAGAGAATTAAGTGGAACAAAGAAACTGTCAACACCACACACCCACAAAAGAATACATCAAAATGACAGCACTAAACTCATACCTATCAATAATTACACTGAATGCAAATGGACTAAATGCACCAATAAAGAGACAGAGTGGTAGAATGGATAAAAAAACACGATCTGTCTATATTCTGCCTTTAAGAGACACACCTTAGACTCAAGGGACAAACATACTAAAACTCAAAGGATGGGAAAAAAAAAATCAAGCAAACAACTCAAAAAAGAGCAGGAGTGGCAATATTAATTTCTGACAAAATAAACTTTAAAGCAAAATCCACCACAAAAGATAAGGAAGGACAGTATATAATGATTAAAATGTCAATACACCAGGAGGACATAACCATAATAAATATTTATGCACCAATGACAGTGCTCAAAATATATAAAACAAACTTTAACAGCATTGAAAAGAGAAATAGAGAGCTCCACAATAGTAGAAAGAGACTTCAACACACCACTTTTGGTGAAGGACAGAACATTTAGAAAGAAGCTCAATAAAGACATGGAAGATGTAAATGCCATAATCGATCAACCTGACCACGTAGACATATACAGAACACTCCACCCAACAGCATCCAAGTATGCTTTCTTTTTCAATCCACATGGAACATTCTCCAGAATAGACCACGTATTAGGCTACAAAACAAGCCTTAACTGAATCCAAAACATTGAAATATTACAAAGCATCTTTTATGACCATAAAGCCATAAAAACAGAAATCAACAACAGAAAAAGCAAGAAAAAAAATTAAACACATGGAAAGTGAACAGCACCTTGCT